AGGAATTTTGCCGGAGAAATGCCAGGACGCCACGTTTAAGCAGGATCGGCAGCGCGGAGGTCATCGATAACATCTCCCTCTCATATCCCTTGAAATTAGTTAACGAAAGCCCGACGTGCTTCTCCGACAGCGGTGATACACCGCTTTTCTCCTCCTGACGATCCTTGAAAGCCTTCACAAGCTTATTGACATTTGTCCGGCCAAGTTCCTCTTGTTCATCCTCGCGTGTATCCACCGAAACAACGTCCAACACAAAATCTGCAGGATTCATCGTAGAAGGACATTCAAACCCAACCGAGGACATGTAGTCAAGTATTTCGCTCGCAGGACCGGAGTATGCCACCTGGCCACCCTTCGCCAAAAGTAGCACGTTGCCGAAGCGCTTGTAAAGTTCAGAGGAACTCTGATGAAGCGTCGTTATGATCGTTCGACCCTCCTTCGCGAGTTGCGCAAGAACATCCAGAATGGATGCCGCTGTGAACGCGTCTAGTCCTGACGTCGGCTCATCCAACCTGGAGAGCAATGAGCAAACCTTATCGACGACGACAGAAAAACTACTCACATCAGAACCTGAGGCTCTGTAAGCACCTGAACAGCGATGCTCACCCGCCGTTTCTCACCTCCCGAAATACCTTTCAACAACTCATTCCCGATGAGAGTATGGCGACAGTCTTTTAGTCCCACCCTCAGCATAACCTCATCTGCTCTGTGCCGTTTCTCCTCTTTAGACAGACTGCTTGGTAGTCGCAACGAGGCAGCAAACTGCAGGGTCTCGCGAACGGTGAGATATGGTAACAGAGCGGAGTCATCCTGCGTCACATACGAACACAGGGTGCTCATAACCTCTGGTTTAGCCGGTACACCATTCAGCGTCATTGATCCTCCGGCAACATAGGTCGTCTGGAGCGTCGACTGAAGGCGCTGTGCCATGAGATTGAGCAGAGAAGATTTTCCGCTTCCTGAGGGGCCCAAGATGACGTTGACTTTGCCAGCCTCGAAACAGGAAGTGATTCCCTGTAGGATTTTGACATCTCTTCCTCGCCGTGGTCGAACCTTGAGAGTATAATCCGTAAGGTCTACATCAATGCCGGCGATACTGTATGGAGTGAGTACGGACACAGGAACATTTGATATATGCCCAGTTCCATCCTCCTGGTGTTTGGTCCCAAGCATCGTGATATTGACTTTGAAGAGACGAAGAAAGAGTATTTGGCCAAGAAGATATAGGACAATAACGATAAGGATCGCGAATATCGGAATTATAGTCCAGGTTTTGTCAGGCACAGCGAGAGATTTGATGATGAAATCGCCTCGGTAAGCAACGCAGTTGGGGTCTGTCCTCGCATCACCGTCAGGACAGTTAAAAAAGCGACCTTCGAATTCGTTGTAAACCAATGTGGTGAAGGCGTAGAACTACAGAGAAGTTTAGAACCGCCGAGTATGTGGAAACGCTGTGTACTTACGACTGGTGAAATCCATTTTGTCCACCGCATATAAATCGGTATCGCATCAGCTTGTATGAAGAACCCACATGGGTACGTATGCAACATGAATGCAGTGTTTGCGATTATCGTGGCCTTGGCGAAATCCCGCGTCATAGCTGTAGCAAACCCTGCAAAGGTGACTGCAATGTAATGATTCAGAAGGGCGATGGCGAAGTAATAGAAGAATCGATCAGCAGAAGGTGCGAGTCCAACCATGAAATAGGTGATGGCGGAGAACAGCAAAGGGACGATGATATCCTCCAGTACGGCGTGCGCAGAACGATAGCTTAAAACCCAGGGTACGACGCCAATAATACCCTCACTGTGCTCTCTGCCAAAGATAGGAAGGTCTATCATCGTCAGACGATATACCTCGTACATCATTACCAGGTACTCTTGCAGCCCCACTGATGTATACAAGACGGCCTCCCGTGTCCTTATGCCCGATATCGAGTCCGGGATGTGGTAGAACGCTATTCCAACGAACAATCCCATGAGAACAGCTTCCATCCAAGCTGCGGCCATGCCAAATGGATCGCGGACGCTTGTCTTCAGTTTCCGAGAGATCAGGGTGAGGATGACACGGCCGACAGGTGCCTTATGCACATCGCGTTTATCGAGATGGATGACTGCTGCTTCATGTTTGATTGATGGAAATTGGATAGTCGATCCAGACTTCCACGCCGCGATGAGTCTATTGACGCGACTTCGAGAGGCCTCCTCGGCCTCACTTGTACGAACGTCGACGACAGCAACGTCGATCAGATAGTCGGCAGGGTTGACGTGAAGCTCTAATGGATGGACGAGCCGCTCGAACCACGGAATGGCCGCCGAAGAAACACCGGTGTAAAGGACGTGTCCTTGAGAGAGTATCATCACCCTATCGAGCATAACGAACGCTTCGGAGCGAGGTTGGTGCAAGGTCATGATGACCGTCCTGCCCTTCTGCGCGAGACTCTTCAGCGTCTTCACAAGGTGAAAGGCACTTGTCGCATCGAGACCTGTCGTTGGCTCGTCCAGAAAGAGGACAGAGGGGTTTCCCAGCAGCTGAACACCGAGACTGACACGTCTCAGCTCCCCACCTGAGCACCCCCTGCGATGAAACCCATCCCCAACATGCGTATTCGCACAATCCTTTAGTCCGAGTTCGAGAATGATGTCGTCGACGAGCTGAGCGCGTTGGGCGCTGCTCGTGGATGCAGGGAGACGTAGGTTTGCGGCGTATGTGAGAGTTTCGCGAACGGTAAGAGTGGGAAGAAGGGAGTCTGTCTGAGTGACATATGCATGTGATATGCTAGATAGGGACGTCGAACCGTTGTAAAACCGTTCTCCTTCGACAGAGAGGTTACTACTATGCATCCGTTCAGACAAAACATTGAGCATCGTCGTCTGGAGGGACGTATCAGAGTACGCTCAGTAATTAGCATTATCTCACGTACCTTTCCGCTACCACTGCTCCCGAGAACGCCTGTCAGAGTGCCGCGAGGAAAATCGATGTCGATATGGGTAAGAAGGCTTTTGACCCGGCCAGCCTCCAGATCGGAAGTATTTTTCCTGAGACTAAGGAAGCGCTCTTTCCATTGCGGTGTGCCTTCCACCTTAACAGAAAGGTTCCGAACTTGTACGTCCACCGGAGTAACAGAAGAGAATGAAAGTTTCCTGTCCCTGAACACATCAGCTTCATCAACAGGCATGGTGGTAGAGAGAGGAGAGACAAAAAGTCCGCGTCCAGTGTCAAACAATAGGCAAAGCAGGTTATAGCATTGAGTCTCATGTTCCACCTTTATTCCTTGCGGAAAGCTTGCGAGACTAGCCCCTGCAGGACTACAGAATGACTGACAACCAAACGATAGCACCGAGCTAATCTGACGCCAGTATTTGCACCAGCCGTCGTGTTAGTTCAGTACGATCCAATATAGACAATGATAGCCTGAAATTGGATAACTGGACCAAGACATCTAGCAAAGGTTTCAAGACAGAGAAGCTCACCATTATACACAACGTCGCGTCAGGCAGCGCAGCGATTTAGGAACGCTGCTTCCTATTGGTTTCTACTTGTCCGTGGCACGGCTTGATGATGGCGGCGGATCTCTACGGCGGCACTAAGAATACTGTCGGAAAGAGCGGGCGCAAGATCTCGAGAAATTTTATCAGAAGGATATCCCGCGAAGAGGCTTGGAGGAAACCTGATGAAAAATATAAGTGGAGCTTGAGAAAATTCAGACTGCAGCCCATCCAAGTATGCAAGACACTAGCACCCTCCATAATCAAAGTACGACGCTAATCGGCATCATTCAGTGTTGACGAGGTCAAAGAGGTGGCATGGATTACCTTGACTCTTCAACCCGACATTGCGATCAGAATGTAAGGTTAAAGTTCAACGGTAGTCTTGGCTTGAAGCACTAGCGCAAGGCTTAGGGTCGAGTGAGTTTTGGTTTTATAAAGTTCCACCGCTATTCCTTGCGGAAGGCTTGCACATTTCGGTGAAACGAGACTAGCCTCTGCAGGACTAGACGTGGGTCAGTCTTGCGAAACCATCAGTGCATCATTCCTTGGTCTTGACACTGGAATAGAGTACACCTTGATATAAGTAACGAAGACGAAGACGTTCAACTTTTTATTGAATAGGTACTACACATAGACATCTCATTGCGGTAATCTTACAGAACGTTGAGAAAGCATTACACCGAAAGTGAAGATGACATACCATAATGAGAATGGCCGTTGAAGGACAACACGGTTACATGATACGTTCAGGCACTTGTCCTACTCAAGAGAATCCACTACTTATAATGTGATGTCCGCCTAGCACTATCAACCGATCTTAGCTGGAAGAGCGAAACTGAGATTGGATGACATACTCCGCTTTTGAAAGAGCCTCCGTAAATGCAATTTCCCGGGCATTGGCCAACGCTGGGTCAGCCCTCGAGGCGGCGATAGCAGCACGGACGAGTTTGTTCTTGTTCTCATTGAGTAGATCCTCGGCGAGTTCTTTCGGGAGAGGCGGTGCCTTGGAGGAGAAAGGGAGGGTACTGGCAGCCGGTGCATCGGCAAGCTGTATGACCAGGTGAACAGTGCGACACGACGTTGAAAGAGGTACATACAAGCTGCGTACGCCCAAGAGTTTTGTTAAGGCTCGCATGCAGACTAGGAGACGGTGAGCACGGTGAACACGGCGAAGCGTACAACGTACGCATTATGCCCTAGTGGCATACTGGGCATTGTGTGGTGTAGAGGGAGCGGCGAGGATTGTGGGAGAGGGGAAGAAAATAATGTTGGCGGGGGTGTTGCGAATATTGGCGCCTTTTATAGGGAAGGAGCGCTGCATCGGTGTGGTCCGTGCACATGACGCAGACGATGACGCGATGATGAAGGAAGGGCGGGGAGCAGGCTGGTGTGGTACTGGTAGGAGCGCGAGGTCGGCGAGGTCGAGCCGTATGTCACGCGTGACTTAGACTGCCATGCTACCGCAGGCCTGGGATAGGTCATAATGTAGTGTTACTTTAACTTGTAGAACCGACCTTAGCTCAGCTGGAAGAGCGCGAGACTGTAATTGGGTACAACTTATAGGTCCCGGCTTATGTAATCTTGAGGTCGCCTGTTCGAGCCAGGCAGGTCGGACTGTTTTGCCAGAATTTTTGAATCGTAGTCGAGAGTCAAGAGTCTAGAGTCTGGACTCAGTCAGGTTACATTGCTCTTTGCCTCAGTGATCAAAGACGATCAAAGCCCAATGCTGGCATGGTGCACAGTAGCACATTGCGGTACTACAGTGAGTTCCATGACTCGTTGTCGGAGCCACTAGTGATTACTGTCTTGGTGCAAATCTGTTAATCTCAGATGAGGCCAATTCCCGACCTTGCGCCTGAGTCAGAGCAATCTGGAGCTGCAGCCTGACTCTGAGCTAATACTCATATCTGTCACAAGGCTTTTGCAGAATATTCATTATGCACATTGTATACCTCCAATATTTCACCTCTTATCTCAAAAAAAGGGTAGCCTTGGCCTGTACGACATCCACGACATCCGTTACCAAACTTATAGATGATAAAATAACACAGACAGAGAACCCATTATAGTACCTCAGTCCCCCGCTCCCGACACTGTCTTCCGATTTCCTCCAGCACCTCTCTCATCGAATAAACTGTCTCCAAGCCTGACCCATAAGATCGCGCTTCCAACCCAGAATCTACACTCTGGACTTTGAACTCACGAGCCAGTTCGTGAACCTCCTCAAGTGTGAACCCGAAAGCAACCTCCAACATTTCGTGGTCCGTCAGGTCAATAGCAATGGATTCCCACACATTGGGGCGCGAATGATACGTGCTAATACGAGGATCTGGTTCATCGCCAGTGCCCATAATGAGACCAGAGCGAAGGTCGCGCAGATAATTTGAAAGAGGACCGACAAGAAATCGCTCGAGGTTTTTGTCGATCTCAGCGGTATCCCCAGCAGCAAGAGACGGTGCATTGTAGTTGTCTATACATACAAACACCCTCCATCGGTTAGTGCGCCTCACAAGACTCTGCAGTGAAGATCAGAAGGCAAAATTAATAAAATTAGACGGAAAACCATACCAGAACTCCAGCCAACGAGTAAATCCCATCTTCGTAGATATAAGAGGAGATATTCTCCGGTGGGATTTGCAGCTCCTGTTGGTACTTGTACAAGAACTGCTTCAAGACTGTGTTGACATGCTCGACAAGCGACGTTTCGAAATCGGTTACGCGTGTTGCGGCCAGGTCAAAGGTCAGCACCAAGTCTGCGTGCAAGTTTATTGCGTGTGTATTTGCGGCACAGAAGTTTCCAATCCACGTAGATGATAATGCGGAGCGAGATGCGGGAGAGTTGCGATGTTTGACGTCGTGGAAAAATTCTGCCATGGCCAGGAAGGAAGTCTTCCCAAAGCCTGCAGGACGATGGACAAGATCAAACCCAGGGTCAAAGTTTCGCCGTTTGTGTAATCCTAGAAGCCAGGACGTTCTGTCGACCCATACGACACCAGGAGACGACAGAATGTCTTGATAGACAGTAAGAAAGGCTGACGGTAAGGTCTATCCCATTGGTCAATAAATGTCCGAAATGGCGACGACATATATACGTACGGATTCGTTGCAATCAGTCTTGAAAATGCCTCGACTGATTTTGATGGGGCTCGGGATATCACAATTATCTTCGGAGTACTTGGAACCCACGCGAGTAGCAAGGCTGGAAGGAGAAGTAGGAGAAGTACAGAAAAGGGTATCGGAGGATGACCCTTCGGATCCGCGAGTACCGTCCGAGTCCTTGCCGTCGAAGAACCATGCAACAGTAGCACACCTCTCCGTACTCAATTTCGGCACCTCCTCGTCCATAGCCACGCGTCTACTGCCCGCAGGAGGCGTTTTAGATCTTGCTACTGACGGGTGGCTCACTTTCCCTGTAGGAACCCACGCGTGGTCGCCCAGTGGCAACTGACAAAAGCATTCATTGTCATGGGCATCCTTGGCGGCCTCATACAGTTCAGAGTATGTGATTCCATGACAGACGACTCTGTATGGAGGCCAAAAATCGCAGGGAAGTACGCATTCGACATAGAGCGACATGGCAGTCGGTGCGTAACACCGTTTAAGGCATGTATTCGATCACATGATATTTATGGTCCAAGACCAGCCGGAGTCTGAGTCTTTCGCCCACTTCTTTCTGCTACCGCATTTTTTCGGCTCCATCACCCGTCACAGGTACGCTACCATTCCCTTCAGCACCTTGCTTCGGCCGAACACTGGGAGTACCTCGAACGCGAAGGATCATCGGACGCATACAGCCAGTGAAGAGAAACGGACTCCGGAGATCCGTAGTAGCGGCACCTCATTCTCAAAATCTCCGTTCCGCCGCCCAGGTGGCGTAGTTTATTGGTTATGTACTGACAGTACTGCCGACTTCCCCGGAAGAGAATACGGTGTCAGTCCTCCATGAACTCTCCATAATGATTAGTGACGAACGGCGGATCCTCCGACAATGGCAGACTATAACATAATCGTCAATACGTAGCAGTAGGAAAAATAACTATAAAACATGTCGCAGCTTTCAGAGACTAGCTACACAGAACCTTGAAATTTATAATTTGGTTCGCCTTCAACTACAGAACCTTCACCAAGAAGCTTGGCGGAGTCATTTGTATCTCCACCCTGTCTTCTGACCTCATCCAACACTTAGGTCATAGAATACACGTTGCTTGACCAAAATAATAGGGCGTCAACTCCGCATCGATAAAATGGACTTTGAACTCGCGCTCGAGCTGGTGGATTTCATCGAGGGTGAAACCAAATGCGGTCTCCGTGATATCAGCGTTAGTCAGATCAGTGGCGACATCCGCCCACATGTTAAGGGGGTTGTGGTTGTAAGGGTCGAGGTGAGGATCCGGCGTATCAGCAGTGCCCATGATGAGTCCGGAGCGGATATCATACAACATTCTAGAAAGGGAAAGCAGCAGCAGCCTCTCCACCCATTGATTAACTTCGGTTGAATTGCCAGACGCTAGGTATGGCGCGTTATAGTTGTCGATGCGGATGAAAAGGCGCCAGAATCGGGAATATACGAGATCCTACATGTAAAGCAAATAAGGCATTGATGGCATCATAATGTAGACAAAACTTGACATACCGAAACATTAGGGAGCGAGGAGACGGCGCTCTCTGCGAGGTATTCAGGAAATTTTTCAGGCTTCAACTGAAGTTCCTCTTGATACTTCCATAGAAATTTTCGCAGCACGGAGTTGATGTATTGCGGAAAGGAAGTGGAAAAGTCGCCCACTGTGGGAACTGACAGATCAAAAGTCAAAACCAAGTCCTGGTGCGGATCGGTGACACGCTCCGTAGTGGTACAGTATTGGCTTATGCGCGTCGACTTCAACACAGCGTCAGAGATGGAGGAATCACTATGCTTGACATCGTGGAAAAACTCCAACATAGCCAAAAAAGAAGTCTTCCCAAAGCCTGCAGGACGACGAATGAGAGGTAGACTGTATGACCATTCTGACCGCTCCGCAAGAGAGGATATTAGTGATGTTTTGTCGGCCCAAATAACACCCGACGAATAAACTAGATCATATGCCGTCAGCGACTTGCATGCGACTCTCTGCGGCGACCAGTCCGTCAACAAATTGATGGTATAGCGAGGAGAAGCTTACGGGTTGTCCTGATCCCGATTGCAGGATTCCATCTCCCAAACCATTGAGACAATGTGGACTATGGTTATCAAACTTGGAACACGTCGGTGAATCGGGGTCTGCAGGCGAAGACGCCGTCGTACTCAAGGGAGGTGGTGATGACCCAGGAAGTTGTCGTGAAATCCACAGTTTCGAAATCTTAGTATTATCTCAGATAAAACCACGCATAAAACCACAGGACTTCGCGCACCTTGCCATGCTGCTTCGTCGACAAAGGATACCAGTAGGTCAGTTTCCTTCCTGAAGAAATCAGACACTTTTACTTGCAGATTGACGCGCAAAGATGATGGTGAGGCAGCTCGAGGAGAGTCACCAGGATGGTGTGCCACGACCCACGCGTCATGGCAGGGACTGGGCTCGCAAAGGCACTGAGTGTCATGAGCTTGCCTGGCGGCGTGAAGTAAATCTGAGAACGTATCACCGCAGCAGGTGACTTTGAATAGACGAGACGCGTCGCAGGGGAGCAAGCAGTCAACTTCGACTGACATGGCGGTCAGTGGCAAAGGAAGTCACCACAGTAGCAGTTGAAATTTAATTTTGGGAGGGCGCAAGCTCCTGCTAATTTAAACTCCGCTTCGTTCCTTCCCTTTTGGGAACTTCAGCCAAAATCTTCAGGGCATATGGCGACGACTAGCAAATACAGAACGAGCCACCTTCTGCCATAACTTTGGCTGGGTGATAGCTGTAAAAACGTATTTTATTTGTAATAAACGGAGAAAAATAGAGATTTTCTTCGAAGTCCTTGTGCTGAGTGATATATCTCACCAAGACACCCCATTATGCCAAATTTTCTCCGTTTATTACAAATAAAATAGCCAACTAAGGGTATCCCGATGATTTTTGGAACACAGCGGGGTCTATGCCGAGCAGTAGTCTTTGGGCTAAAATGGCCCATGGTGGTGCTAATAAACACATGTAAACAGAATCGAACAGTGCTTAGAGGAGACTATCAAAGCAGGATCGCAGTATTTTTATTATGATAAAAGTGCTAAACTACTTTTACAGAATATAGGAAGCCCACTGACCATTTTACCCTCTGCATACACATAAATATTGTGTGTGAGGCCGTCTGGATTCACATTTGCCGTGAAATGATCAATTTGATGCTTAGTCATCTCACATTTTTGGAACCGACGATGCGTCCTCCCACATTGAAATTGGGTGCCCTGCGATCACGTGATATTCCCGTCTCAAGTCATTTTTCCATTTGAAGATCCACGACCCTTTTCCAAAGACACGAGGGGACCCTCTCTTCGGCTCAATGTGACTCAGTATGAGTTCCACAGGGTCACTTACCTGGCACCTCCTTCTCATCGGACTACTACATCAGTAGCTCCTGCAGTGGGCTGTGAGCTTCCAATTATGTCTTCGCTATCCGTTTCTGTCTCTCTTGCCGGTCATATCTCACCGCTAACA